ACTGGTATCTGCCTAGCCAGTTCCACTCCCACCAAAATGAATGGTCTCTTTTTGTTCCATAAGAAAGTTCCTTCAGTTCTTCCTGTCATTTATACATCTACCTCCTCTCGCCTGACCTGCCATGTTCCTTGCTGGACTCTCCCTGTACCTCTCTTGGTCTTCGGATCATCTTTTTCCCTCCAGAGACCTCCTGGAATATGACACATTGAAGGGGCTTAGTAAATGCTTTTGGAATAAAATAATGAATGTTTAGGTGGAAATATACCATCTTCTGGGGAAAGTGCTTCAACCTAAATATAAAATAATTTAAGAAATTAGCTACCTAATCCTTTGATATTTTCAGCCATGTTTACATATCTAGTTAGTGATTGCTGAGGACAAAAACTTTTCATATTTGCATATTACAGTGTGACATGAAAAACTTAGGACATTTAAATGCATTTTTCAAATAGAATGTGATCTTTCATGCTTATAAAGCCTTTCAATTTTCACTAAGTCTTGATTTCTCTGGAAGATCATTTTCATTCAGTAAACTAAAAAAAAAAAAATTTAAAAAGCTCAACTTGATTCCCAATCAGCCTGAAAGCCATTTCTTAGCTTTTAAATTGTCCTTTCTATAAACAGAAGTTAAGGAATTTCAACTCAGAAGCAGCCCCCTCAGCCTTGCAGCAAGTTGGATGACAGAGGTGAGTGTGGGAGCACTGGGAAGAATTCACTGACAGATACACCTAGTAGGCTTTTCAGACACAGCCTGGGACACTAGAAGGTATCCAGCTTCAGGAATCAATCCTGGCCTGTCTCCCTTTGGTTTGATTTTAGGATGCTTGGGGTTGAACACAGGGTCTTGCACATCAAAGGCATCTTTAATGCTTAGAAAAAGAAAGATATAATAAGAATGTAGAATTTTTAAACCTGTCGAAATCACCATAAGAAGGGGACAAAGGTAAAAAGAATAACAGAGAGGATGAAGCAATTCAGGCTATAATGTATACATACATGGAAATGTCACAATGAAACACCCTGTACGACAATCTTTTTATTATTATTATTATTCATATGTGCATACAAGGCTTGGGTCATTTCTCCCCCCTACCCCCACAAACAAAAATGTCCTTTTTTTTTTTTAGAAAAATAAAGAACAGGAAGGGCAAATAGGTCTTGTCTGGGGGTTGGGACCCAAGGGAGGGGAAGGATATAAGAAAAGGGTGAGTGAGGATCAATATGGTGGAAATATTATGTACTCATGTATACAAATGGAAAAATTAGACCTGTTGAAACTATCCAGCAATAGGGAAAGTGGGGGGAATAAAGGAGAATGATGGAAAAGGTGAATTTAACTATGATATATTGTAAGAAGTTTTGCAAATGTCACAATGTACCCCCAATACAATAACAAAAAAAGAAAAGACAAAGTCAGATCCATCTAAAACTCTATTATCTATTAATATCTATTGATATCTCTTCTATGTTAGGAAGAAAAGTTCAAATTTATATTAGCTAGTCAAATAATAATTGCAGTTTATTTAAAAATATAAGCTTGGTAAATGATCAGTTGTATAGGCATCCTACCTGTAGGCTAATTTGTGTCTTGAAGACAGAAATATTCTTTCTTGGTGATAGATTCACACCACATATACATCTCATTATACTCCCCTTCATCACCATGGTGGTCAGTTCTAGCATTTTGGATGATTGGCAGAAAGAAAAGAGTACATTAAATTTTATCCAGTTTTCAGCTTTAATAAAATATTCCTATTTCTTTTATTTTGTTCTATTTTCTCAACTCCTCATCAGCCCTTATCAAGACTCCAAAGTCTGCACATTTTTGTGACCCTGTTAAGATGGGTCTAATCTTACTGAAGATGAAAGGGTGACTGGGAAGGAGTGGCAGGGACAGAGTGGTAGGGACTGAGGTGGGGCAGAGCCCCGGCTCACTTTAAGCAAGAATGATGGTCAGTTCACCATTTTCATCACTCTGGTAAAAGAAGGGAAGGCAGAGATTGTCCTCCGATTCTGCACACTCATGCTGGTTCTGGATGTTTCAATGCAGATGCAGGTTCTGCTGCATTTGGAGCTGCTCCAACCTCTCATTCCTCACGCTGCACATCATCATGGAGATTCAAATTTTCAAACTTCCCTTCATCACATGCAACTTTATGTTCCTCCTGGGGAGCTGGAGAACATCATCGTAAGTGAAGTTAGCCAGGTTCAGAAAGCAAAGTCTACCTGTTTTCTCTCATATATAGAATATAAAGCCAATACAAATACAAGCAATATTATGAAAAATAGGTCACACTAAGAGGTCACTAATGGGAGAGGGAGGGTAAAAGAAGGAAGTTAAGAAGGTGAATATGATTTATGTACTTTCTTTACAAGAATGAGTATAGAATTTTTAAAACTGTTGAAATCACCATAATAAAGGGACTAAGGTAGAAAGAGAAAAATGGAGGGGATGAACCAATTTGTGTTATAATGCACATATACACAGAAATGTGACAATGAAACTCCTTGCATAGATATCTTAAACAAAAATGTATTTTTTTCAAAAACAGGAAGGTAAAATAGGTCTGGTCTGGGGGATTGGTACCAGTGGAAGGGGGAGGATATAAAGAAAGGGCATAGAATGAATTTGGTGGAAAATTATGTCTTCATGTATGAAAATGGAAAAATGAGACCTGTTGAAACTATTCCATGAGTAGGGGAGGGGATAAAGGACAATGATAGAGGAGGTGAATTAACTTTTGTAAGAATTTTTATTAACGTCACAATGAACGCCCAGTATTAATGATTAAAAAATGATGGGGGGGAGAGAGAGGGGGTGGAGTGGGTGGTAAGGGAGGGGGTGGGGGCAGGGGGGAGAAATGACCCAAGCCTTGTATGCACATATGAATAAAAAAAAAAAAAAGAA